GGGAACATACCTGGAAATACAGGTACACATCTGAGACATGGGTCTACCACTGAGAGTTCAGGTGCACACCTGGGAACACAAATACGTACCTGGAACATGGGGTTTCCCCTTAAGAATGCAGGTACACACCTGGGACATGGGTCCACCCCTGAGAATACAGGTACACACCTGAGAACACAGGTACACACCTGAGTCATGGGTCCACCCCTGAGAATGCAAGTATACCCCTGGGAACACAGGTACACACCTAGGAATACAGGTTGTTGTTGTTGTTGTTAAGTGCCGTCGAGTTGGTTCCAACCCATAGCGACCCTGTACAGGGTTTCCGAGGGTATAAATCTTTACGGGAGTAGAAAGCCTCATCTTTCTCCCATGGAGCGGCTGGTAGTTTTGAACCTCTGACCGAATACAGGTACAGACCTGGAAACACAGAAACACACCTGGGAACTGTGGGCACCCATCTGCTTTTTAGTGCCTCCCTTACATCCCCTCTTGCTGAATGTCTACCTGACCCTGAGGAGGAAGTGGAGCACCACAGGTGGAGGGAAGGGGAGGTCTCCTGCTGGGGCACAAACCCACCGCACCATTCCCAGAAAATGTAAGGCAGCAGAAAGGGGAGCCGGCCAGCACACACCTGCAGCCGAGGAGGGCAGCCAGCAGCAAGTCCTCACTGTTGCGTGGCAGACTCCAGGATGTGCATGCTCCACGGCAGTCTCTGCCCGTGCCTCACTGCCTTGGAAGTCAACGCATCACTTTTACCACCGTCGTGAGAATGACACGTGCTTTTCACCCACACGGGAGAGCACAGAGCCATGCCCTCTCTCCACTCACTCCCACCCAGGCCAAGGCAAAGCATTGGCTCCCAGCATCCTTCAGTCTCAACGTATCTCTTTCCTCTTTTTCTGCTTCCAGAATGGGGTGTGTTATTTCAGCTAATCTACGTTCTCCTTCTCTGAAGAACAAACGAGAATCTTGGAGATCTTACTACATCAGCACATGCGGTTTAATTTATTCATGTTAGTTGTTGTTGTTAGGTGCCATCGAGTTGGTACTGGCTCATGGCAACCCTATGCACAACAGAACGAAACACTGCCTGGTCCTGGGCCAACCTCACTATTGTTGCCACGCTTGAGCCCACTGATGCTGCCACTACCAATCCATCTTGTTGGGGGTCTTCCTCCTTTTCTCTGACCCTCCACCTTACCAAATATGATATCCTTCTCCAGTGACTGGTCCCCCCTGACAATATGTCCAAAGTATGAGAGATGAAGTCTGGCCATCTTGGCCTCCAAGGATCACTCTGGCTGCACTTCTTCCAACACAGATCTGTTGGTTCTTTTGGCAGTCCGTGGCACTTTTCAATATTCTCCTCCAACACCATAACTCAAATGCATCTATTCTTCTACAGTCTTCCTTATTCCAACTTAGTTAACTTTTGTTAGAAGAAAAGCATTTATCAAAGTATTACATGTTTGCTGTAGGATAAACACGGGACTGCTAACCATGAGGTCGGCAGTTAAAATCCACCAGTTCCTCCTTGGAAACCCTGTCCAGGGTCACTGTGAGTTGGAACCGACTCCACGGCACCACCACCAACACATGTTTGTGTCAAAACAAGACAGACAAAATGCCCAGAAGGCTGGAGACTGTCCTCCCAGCTCTGCGCCAGGTATCACAGCCTAGTGTGTCTCCCATGGGTGGGACAACAAAGGAACTGCTGTGTCCCACCAACTCCCCACCCCCACAGCCTGTCCTCAGGGGTCCTTTGGCCTTTACATTCTTATGTGGTTTGGATCAGACCATTCCATCTGAAATCTTAGTTGAGCGTCTTCTGAGAACTAAAGCTATGCTGAATCCACCAAACCCTACAACCCTACACACACATTGCAAAGTCATGTCATATATCCCAGAAGGAAATGTTGACTGGCCCAGCCACCTTCAAACGATCCCAGAGTGGAGCGCAAGGAACGCTGCTTTCTCATCTCAAAACCTCCCTGGTCATTTCCTTGATTTCTGGTCAGTCCTATCATGGCCTGGGGGGCACGACAGTGCTGTCACATGCTGTCCCCTGGGCTTCCCTTGACCTCTCTTCTGGATCGGAGCCATGGGTTTCTGCAGCCACGCCTTCTTTCCTGGTTTCCTGGTTCATTTTCATGGAATACAATAGTCAGCAGAGTGTGACCAAGTTTTGGAGATCTTATAGCTCTGCAAATGCCTATGTTTCTCCACTCACCTGAGTCATACTCTGTGTGAGCACATGAGTGGTAGTCTGTGTGGGTGTAGAAATGATCCCACCCTTTCCCTGCAGCATGGTCTGGGTGAATGTATGAATCAGCCCACGCTCACACTGGAGTGTCGTCTGCGAGGATATTGCACGCATTTTCCTGTGAATATTCTGAGTGTTGGTCCACGTGTCTGGTGCCCAGGGTGTCTGGACAATAGATTCAGTGCTCCTTTTCCTCACAGACGTCCTGTCCCTCTCCTGAACTTTGCCCCCTGCTTGTGGTAGGTTTACCACACTGGAGGACCCTGGGCTGAGTGAGAATGGCAGTCTGCCTAGCTGGTAGCCAGCGCGGTGTCTGTGCCAGGCACTGTGTCCAGCAGCATTTCCCACATGGCAGTTCTCATGCTGATGTCCACTCAAACGCTGCGCCCCCTGACTCTGTTTCTTTCTGAGCTCATCTTCCTACCTGAAGATACAGAGTGTGTTTGTGTGGTTCCTGTCTGCCAACTAGCAGGTGGACTTGTTTTATATCTTACCCTTCCATCTTCTGTGAAGGTGAGTGTCCAGCATGGTAGATTGTGTGCGGAGTGACCAGCGAACTCGGAGACAACCCCGTGAGTTAAGTTCAAGCCACGTGGTGTCTAGTGCGCGGCCTGGCCACCTCGCTACAGCCTGTCCTGGGCTGACCCTCACATCTCTTCTCGCTAACTGGCTCCCAGTGACGGGGTTCTCCGATAACCCCATCTGCATGTGTATCTCCGTTAATCATGTCTTTAAAATACCCAGAGCGTGCAGTGCAGGTGTGAACGTTCTCGGTGGGACTTGTCAGTCCCCTGGAGACTCTGGCTGTGTCTGCTCCACAGAACTTGGGGGTGTACCTGTGGGCAGGGAGCTTGGGGGCTCATGTTTCAATGCGCTGTTAGGTACTGACTTTTTCCTTGTTGTGAAATAGCAGCTGTAGGAAATCCGAACATTTTTATAGCTGAGGACAGAGACACCACGGTCGCTCCATGCCCCCCCAACCCCACCCCAAGAGCCTGGCCCTTCCTGGTGCTTTCCACCTTTTCCTCACAAGACATTTCTGGGGCCAAGAGTGAAGCTTCATAAACTGAGATCTGTCTTCCTCTCTGACGAAGCTGAACAAACTTGTGTTCATACGTCAGCTTTGTGTGTTCTGGCCAAATGGGTGACGGTTTCTAGTCATCTCTGAGCACCTCTTCCTTCTGACGATATCAGAGAGCCCGTGGTAACCTGTGGCCAGTCTCCAAAGATACTCCTGTTTCAGACACAGAGATGGTGTCGGTGATGAAGCTGGAACTTGAGCCAGGCCCCATCCTGCTGGCGTCACCTCTGGGGTCCCTTTGGAGCTATCGGAGCCCCAGCCCCCTGGGGAGTCAGCCCATGGCCTTCCGTTCCAGTGAGCGTTCCCTGGAACCTTCTCATGTAACATTTTACTCTGCACCCTTTCCTCTCCCCCTGAGCCCTAAGGAGCACTCCACTTCCGGGTGTCCTGGTTTGCTTGTCAGCAATTTGCACTTTCAGAGCCATCATGAGAGCAGGAGAGGACAGGGGTCTGAGGCCCCGGGACATGGCTCAGCACTCACTTTATTCAGAATGCTCTCTTTGGGGGTGCTCGTGTGATCTAGGCTACACCAAGGCCACACTCAGGATCTCCCTCCTGTCCTGCAACCATAATGAACATGGGAGAACCCAGACTGCGGTTTTGGGGTGCCATAGACCCTCCTGCCTGAATTTGGTCTGTGCCTGCGGGTGGGCTTCCTCTCCTCCCCCCCCCCCAACCTTTAGAGATGCCACAAGCCCAGGTCACTCTGGCCTCTGAAGGGCAGGGGTGCATCTTGTGTTGGGACACGAAAGGACGTATGTGGTTGCTGATGGGTCCTGGAGGGTCAGCCTTGATGGCCTGCATGCCAGCCCAGCCCCAGTCCAGATGGTGGGAGCTCTCTGCCAGGTCTGAGCTCATAGAGGGAGGTGGATGGACACTGTGTCTCCTCAGCACCCCCAGGGGACATGACACCCTGCTCTGGGTGGCCAGAGCTCAGGCACACACACGCCAACACACACACACGTGTGCACACAAACGCACATGCACATAGACACACACACACCTATGTGTATGTGTAAGGTGCATACGTGTGTACACGTGCGTGCACACACATATCCACACATGTGACAAGACACACTAACACATGTTCACACGAATGCACATGCACACAGACACACCTGTGTGCATACTGCATGTGTGCACACACGTGTACACAAATATATGTACACGTATGCACACACATGCACAAGATACATCAACATGTGTGTGCTCACGTGTATGCAGATGCAGGTTGCAGGCCAGTGTGCAGATGTAAGACACATGTATGTGTGTGTGAGCTCACATGTGCGCACACACATTCACACACAAAAAAGCTTCTCTCCCCATGGTCTCTGTAGGTGTTCTTACACCCACATCCTTGCAGATCACCTAGGGTGGAGGGTGGGGAGGACGTGGGTTTGAGACGAGAGGGGTGCATAGGTGGGTAAGGGACCAAGGGGCTAGGGACCTAGGGGCTGGGGCTGTGTTCATGGTGAAGTGGGACCCTGAGCTGCTGGCCTGGGGTCCCCAGGATGCCAAGTGGTACCCCCATCAGCGGTGCTGACCAGGAGCTTGGCTGAGGAGGTCCTGGGGGCTCCCTCGTTTCACCTCTGCCCCATCTGAGTTCCTGTGGGGACGAGCACATGACCCTTTCTTCTCCCTCCTCCCAGCAGCATGGCTGATAGCAAGGCCAAACCCACCAAGGCCGCCAACAAGACGCCCCCCAAGTCTCCAGGGGACCCCAAGCGGCTGTCACAGGAGCCGGAGGGTAACCCTGAGGGTGCGGTGGCAGCAGAAGTCAGCGCCCTGGAGGAGGCCTTCCGGAGGTTCGCAGTGCATGGTGACACGCGAGCCACCGGCCGAGAGATGCACGGGAAGAATTGGTCCAAGCTGTGCCGAGACTGCCAAGTCATCGATGGCAAGGCCGTGACCATCACCGACGTGGACATCGTCTTCAGCAAGATCAAGTGAGTGCAGGCCGGGCGGCAGGCTGCCCTCCACGGCGCCATGTCACATCTCCCTGCCAGTGCCTGTATGCAGAGGAGTGTGTGTGTGTGTGGGGGGGGGCAGCACGTGCCCACGCTGCCCGAACTGCGCCCTGCTGGGTGCACCGTGCAGTGTGTGCAGGTGTGAGTGTGAGCATGTGTGTCCCAGTGTACAGTGTGCATAAGTGAGCAACAAGTGCTTTGTATGTGTGTACACGTGTGTGCGTGCCCCCATGCATTGTGCAGCTGTGTGTATGCATTTGTTCCAGTGTGTCGTGTGTGTACATATGCACATCTGTGTACCCATGTGCACTGTGTGTAGTGTGTGTGTACATGTGCACATTTGTGTACCCATGTACAATGTGTAGGTGTGTGTGTGTGTGCCTGTGTGTCCTAGTGTGTATGCAGGTATGTGTTGTGTGTATATGTGTGCACAGGTGTCCCTGTGTGTAGCAAGTGTAGCTGTGCATGTGTGGTGTTTGTGTGTGTACATGGGTGCACATGTGTCCTTGTGTGTGTGTGTGTGTGTGTGCATGTGTTGTGAGTGTGTGTGTGCTTTATGTGTGTTTGCACATCTTTTTCCTGGACATTTGGTGGTAAGCTGAGATGTCATCTGTTAGCACAAGGTGTCCCTTTACGTGCACAATTCGGGGTCACAGACACCCGCATCTCTCGCCTGCCCCCGTCACCCCTGTTGTTGGAAGAACGCATGAGCACCTGCTTATTTTACATCGTCTTTAACCAGTGAGCCCTCGAGGTTGGTGGCTCTATTTTGGATGTTAGTTGTTGAGACCTTTTGTTTTTCTGCTCAAATGAAGGGGCAGGTGGGTCGGGGGAGGACTGCAAGCCAGAGTCTGAGGGTCCAGTGGGCACTTGGGCCTCACGCCTCCTGGAGGCAGATGCGTGGGCTGCCCAGCTATGTGGTCGGGGATCCTGCTGTGTGTGGGATGACCATCTTCCTGCTACTTTTCCTTGTGGTGCAGCATGTGAGGTTGTCTCACTTTGGGAAGCTGTGTGCTGGAAAGGGTCTAATACATGGGCTCCTGCCAACTTTATGGGGCATGTGTAAAACCAAGTGAAAAGCACCACTTGATCCCGGCAGTGGTCGGGTCTATGTCAGAGCCTTGGGCGCCGTGACAGGATGGGGCTGAGTCCACGTGAGTCACAAGTCCGTGAGCTGTGTCTGACCTGGGAGTAGTTTTGTCCCCAAAGGTGTGAGCAGGTGTGTTTATGGGTGTGGCATATATGCACACACGCAGACAGCTTTGTCTCCACATACACTGGGGTAGGAACGTCTGGCCCGCGGGCAGGATAAGGTCCCTGAAATCATTTGGTCTGGCCTGCCAAGGCAACCACAGTGCCAGCCAGCCATCCCATTAGGGGTGAGTTCATTAACTGTTTGGTTGTTGTTAAGTGCTATACAGGGTTTCCAAGGAGCAGCTGTGGGTTTGAACTTCCGACCTTGTGCTTTGCAGTCCAGCGCTGACCCTACAGCGCCCCAGGAAAATTACTAATATAGCAGACTAGTTTTTCAGTTGATAATTTTGTATGGCCTGTGAATGATGTTATAAATTTTGTTAGGCAAAGGCCCCCCACCCCTGACCTACACAACAGGGGGTGTGGTCTGGGGAGGATGAACCAATCCCGAACCCCCTCCCAGCAGCCTCTGTTGTCCGCGAGCTCTTCAGCTTTCGTCTCTGCTTAGAGCTTGTTGTGATGAAGGGTCTCCTCAATAGCCAAGCAGCATCTACGACTCACGCCTTCCTTCCTTCAGAAGGGGAAGTGCTGTCTCCGGAGGAGCTGTGGACTGTGATTTCCTGTACACACGCATGTTGTGCTTCGTGGCATTGGTTACGGTCCCCGCGATGCACCAACACTCTTTCCACTTCCGCTCCCTCCTGCCTTCTGAGCTCGCTCTTGGGCAAATGCTGCCCTTTGACCTCGTGCCTCATGCGGGTGATGGCCTCGCTGTGTTACTGCCCACCTCGAGTCCTGTCCATCATGTGACTGAAATGGAGGGTCGGGCGAGTTCAGTTCCAGGATTGAAGGGTGACCAGGTGCAAGAGGAGCCCCAGTCTCATGACCAACAGTGGCCTCACCTTGAGTGTAGATGGACGGTCCAGTCTTGCAGTCCAGGGGGGGTCAGCCACAGGGAGGCACTGATGACATGGTCAGAGGAATGCTGGTGTCCATGGCGTGGCTTGACTTTGGGGATCGTACCTCCAGCAGACTGGAGCTGGGCGGAGGAGTGATTTGGAGGCCCTGTCCATGGGCTACCCGTCCGTCCATATCCCAGGAATTCACGAAGCTTGCTACTGGCCCCAGAGTACCCAGAGTTGGGCAGGCCCAGGCAGGCACCCCGTGACCAGCTTGCACTGTGGGGGCAGGTGCGGCTGCTGACTTGCTTCCCAAGGCCTGCAATTCCTTCCACCAAAGTTGCCTACAGGCCACCACATAGGCACACACCTGTGTGCATACACCCACATGCAAAAGACCTGCATGCATAGACACTACACATGGGCACACACAGCATATATATATATATATATATATATATGACACACACATACTCGTGTGTGCATGCAAACCTGCACCCGCACACACACACACAAATACCTGTGTGTATAGACATGCACTGTGTGTGTTCACACAACGTGCACGTTCACACACAACACACATGCACACATAAGCATACACCCCACACAGATGCCTGCATGCATAGATATGTGTGCAACACACACACATATGTAACACACACACATACTTGCACCCACATGTACACACCTGAATGTGTAGACACACATGCATGTGTACACACAACATATGTGCCCACACATAACACACAGGCACACATATTACACACACCTGCACCTATGCATGCACCCATACACAGAGTCACCTGTATGCATAGACATGCACACTGTGCACATATAGACGTGTGTGCTGTATACATGCACATGCTCACATATGCATGCACACATTCACCTGCATCCATGAACCATCTAAGATGGTTTCAATGTGCACTTTGGAGAGTGGGCTATGGAGGGTGCGTTCTGGCTCGGGACCTGTGTCCCTGCACTGCACGAGAACTGGGATCCCCATCTGTGGGGTCCACAACACCCCAGGACAAGGTTCCTGAGGCCGCTGTACCCCTTCCTGGTCCTTCAGGACGGCAGTAGCCCCACTGTAATGGAAGCACCTTTGCCCTGCCCAAGGTGTGGCAGACCGCAATGGGCTGGTGTGGGCGCTGCCCGCCTGTGCCCTTATACAATCTTGATTACCGGTCACTTGCTGTTGACAGCTGGTTGTCATGGCTGCAGGCCCAACGCCAGCCCCGGATACCCGCTGGCCTTTGTTTGGACCCTGTCGTCATGGCAGCGTCTGTTTGTTGTGAAGTTACCATGTGTAAACTTTAAACAAAGTTTCTGCAGTCCGACACTAGCTCACTGCTGCTAACCCTACTGCTAAGCAGGCCAGACAAGGGTCTCCCACCCTCCACTGCGTCTGTCTGAGTTCCGTGTTGTAGCTATGTCTGTGGGCATTGTATCGGAACATATATGGTCTATGTCTATGTACCTATGTTCTGCACATGTGTCTGTCTGTGTTCTGCACGTGTGTCTGTCTGTGTTGTACCTGTGTATCTGTCTGTGTTCTGCACATGTGTCTGTCTGTGTTGTACCTGTGTGTCTGTCTGTGTTCTGCATTTGTGTCTGTCTGTGTTGTACCTGTGTATCTGTCTGTGTTCTGCACATGTGTCTGTCTGTGTTGTACCTGTGTGTCTGTCTGTGTTCTGCATGTGTGTCTGTCTGTGTTGTACCTGTGTGTCTGTCTGTGTTCTGCACATGTGTCTGTCTGTGTGTTGATCTACTATAGCTCTGTGTTGAGTCTGTCTGTCTGTCTGTCTGTCTGTCTGTCTGTGTCTGGGTGGTTCTATCTTGCTGCTCCCTTGAGCTCTCTCACACTGGCTCTGGGTGGGTGGCCATGTGTCACCTGGAGTTTTGAGGAGCAGAGGGAGCCCCCCCTTGCCTTCTCCAGGTTTGGGGTTGGTGGCCCCCGGATGCCTCTCCAGGTACTGATGGGCCCAGACTCTGCCCCTCCCAGGCCACAGGCCACGCAGTCCCATCCCGTGCCTGCTGTAGGCTCTGAGCGGGGATGGGACAGGGGACTTAGCTTCAGGGTTGCTCTGCCACTGCATGCCCCCATCGGGGAAGGGGAGGTGCTCGTGAGGCAGGGGGCTTCCAGCTCATGCTGAGGGGTTGTGTCAACTAGAACCCTGCCTTCAACGACGTCTGTCCACCTCTCCTGAGCAGGACTGTGGCTGGAGTGACCAGAGGAGTGAACAAAGTAGAGGCTAGGGGAGTGTCCGGAATAGTGGCCAGCAGAGTGACCGGGCACTGGCTTGCTAACTGAAAGCTTGACAGTTCAAACCCACCAGTGTCTCCTCAGGAGAAAGATGAGACTGCCTGCTTCTGTAAAGATGTCAGTCTTGGGAACCTGTGGGCAGTTGGTGTGGTCCTGGCTGTGGCCGTGTCATTGGGTCTGGTTTGGGGCCTGCCTCGGCCTCTATGAACCTCCGCTTCCCTGGAGTAGGTCTGTGGAAGGTCTGTGTGGCCCGTGACCCGACCCCAGACCTGGGTGGCTTATTTGGAAACAGGGTCATTGAGATGGATCACCAGGAGGTTCTAGGCCGCTCTAAATCCAGTGACAGACAGAGGACAGGTGCCAGGGGAAGGTGGACGCAATAGAGTGAGGGGGCCTGGGACCACCGGCACATCACAACATGTCTTCTGGTCTCTAGAGCTCAGAAAGCAGGAGTCCTTGCTATTTTAGGTCACAATGTGGGTCCAAGGAAAGAGGACTCCTGCCCCCTGCCACCATGCCCACAGGACAGGGCAGGGAGTGAAGCCTCCTCCTCAGCACAGGTCACCTGAGAGTGGGAAGGGAGTGCAGGGGAAGGGTCTTCAGGTGGGGTGCCAGAGCTC